GATTTCTCGCTTTCTGTCTCTCTGTCTCTCTCTGTCTGGCGAACGCACACGTTCTATCGTGAAAACCTCTGAAAAGAAAAGAAAAGAAAAGAAAAGAAAAGAAACCTCCCCCCCCCAAAAAAAAAAAAGACAACTGAACTCCACATGCCCAACTGCGTGGTTCGATCCCCAGTGGCTTGAAGGACATGCCAGACACATGTGCATGCATGCCCAAAATCCTAAGACGAGTCACTCACTCCCTGGGGAGAGATTTCTCACTCTCTCTCTCTCCGCCTCTCTGGCATGCACACATACTCTATAGGAAAAACTAAAAAAATAAATACGTGAAAGGCTGGTGGGGGTGACCAGCCCGGGGCCTGCTGGCTAAGGTGACTGAACGCCACATAGCCAACAGCACAGTTTTAGTCTCAAAACATACCAGGTGTGTGTGTGTGTGTGTGTGTGTGCACATATGCGCAAGATCCTGAAAGAAGAGAAGGGACAGCAACATTCTCTTCGCCATGGGGGTGTTGTTTCCTCTGTCTCTCTGTCTCTCTCTCTCTCAGTCTCTCAGTCTCTCTGTTTGTCTTCAGCATGTCCTCCAGCAAAAAAAAAAAAAATTTTTTTACATGACTGGAAGGGCTGGGAATGCTCTCAGCACCCCGCAGATGGAGGCCAGGCCAGATTTGAGGCTCCACACTGCACAGTGCTTGGGAGGGGCACCCACAGAGAAGTTTCCAATCTTGCCTCAGCGGTCTGCTGAGGGCGTGGAGCCTCGCCCTCGGAGGGACCTGAATGCAGGTTTGGAAGCACACCCAGCTCTGATTCCATCGTGGCTCGGGGCCAGTTCCTGCTGCCTGATAGCAAGGGTATGATAAGGGCCCCTCCCAGGCTGCGAGGAGGGTTAATCAAGCATTCTGCAAACACGCTTAGCTCAGCGCAGGCTGCATTCCAGCTACCCTGCGGTGTGTCTCCCTCGGTCGGTCGTTGGGTGGGTTTGGGGTTCCATCCCATGCGTCCCTTAGCTCAAACTCTCAGAAGTGAGGTGACTGCCTCCCACTGGCTAATAGAGGAATCCAGATACGGCCTGTTGCCTACAGTGACCAGCAGGTGGCGCTCATCCCCCCCATGAGTCACTGGCATTCCTCTTCCTTTTTTTTTTTTTTTTAAGAAAGATTTCTGTTTTAGGGCGCATGCGCTTGCCAGAGAGACAGACAGCCAGAAATCACCTCCCAGGGGGGATGGCCACGCCACAGTCCCTTCTCCTCCATTCTCCTCTGGGGATCTTGGGCACGCGTGTACACGTGCCCAATGTGAGTTTTAATCCACCGGGTCTAGGACTCGAGCTGTAGTCAATTACGTGGGAGTTCAGAAATGTAACCATTACGCCATCTGCTGGTCTCTTTCTCTTTTTTTCTTTTAAAAGTTTTTGCCATAGGGTGCATGCTTGCTAGAAAGAGAGGGAAGGTGAGAAAGCACCCCGCTGGGGGATGGCCACCCCACAATCCCTTCTCCTCCAGTCTCCTCTCTGGATTTTGGGCATGCATGCGTGCACATACCATTCACCATAATTTTCTTTTTTCTTTTAAATGTTTATCTAGTCTTTTTTTTTTTTTTTTTTTTTTTTTTTTTTTTTGAGAGGTTTTTGCTATAGGGCACATGCGCTCACCAGAAAGGCAAAGAGAGACAGAAAGACAGAAAGCGAGAACTCACCCCCCCAGGGGGGATGGCCACACCACAATCCCTTCTCCTCCATTCTCCTCTCAGGATCTTGGGCGCACACGCACACGCGCCCAGCGTGAGTTTATGCCACCGGGTCCGGGACTCAAACCGTGGTCAATTACATGAAAGTCCAGCAACACAGCCATTACGCTAACTGCTGGTCCCTGTTCATTTATTTTTAATTTGACCAGAGAGATACACATACAAAGAGAAACACAGAGAGAGAGAGGAGCCAAGTGAGAAAGCAAGCCACCAGGTCCAGGACTTGAACCATGGTTGGTCCATGTGGGAGTGTCCAGCACCTTAACCACCACACCACCTGCTGCCCCCCACCACCACCATGATTTTCAAGCCACCGAGTCCAGGACTTGAACCAATGTGCTACGCCACCTGCTGGCCTCAACATTCCTCTTCATCCAGCTCCTTCCCAGCCCAGGCTCAGCAGCACATTAATTCGTGGCAGCAGAGCTCATCCCTCTCCAGGACTCGCCGGCTTCATGTGTTCTCAACCCCCTGTGGCCATTTCCCTGGTCTACAGTCCAGTGGGTGCGACCTTCTCAGTCCTGGCCCCTTACCACGCCCCAGGGCTAGGCTGTGGAGGGGAGTCAAACCTTTTCCTCTAGGTCAGAGCAATGGTCTGTTTATGACGTAGCTCACCCTGGTCAACTTTCCCAGTGATTTCTGTGCGTGTCCCCAGGTCTCCAACTGGTTTGGTAACAAAAGAATCCGGTATAAGAAGAACATGGGGAAATTTCAAGAAGAGGCTACCATTTATAAGGGTAAAACCCCGGATACTACTGAAGCCAGGGTCCCAGGGAATGCAGGCAGCTGCCCGTCAACGCCCAGCTCTGGTGAGTGAGACAGCCTGGCCCAGGAAGGTGACAATGGGGAGGGCCAGCTGCTACCCCGGCTGGTTGCTGAGACTGACACACCTCACCTCTTTGTGTAAGCTGTGTGATTTCTGCCCCCCTTGGCCGTGAGCCCAAACAGCCCGCCCATACCGATAAGATAGGACATGGGGCCAGCCAGTGGCATGGTGGTTGGGGTAGATAGATCCCAGATGACCGACGAGGCAGTTCAATTCATGGACTTGGTGGCTTAAAAAACGTACACCTGGGCTCAGCAGTTAGCGTAATAGCTATGTCGCTGGAGTCCCATGTAGTCGACCACGGTTCAAGTTCCAGACCCGGCGGCTTAAACTCCCACCGGGCGCGTGTGCGTGCGTGCCCAAGATCCCAAGAGGAAAATGGAGGAGAAGGGATTGTGGCATGGCCATCCCCCTGGGGAGTGATTTCTCACTTTCTGTCTCTCTCTGTCGTTCTGGCGAGCACACGCGCCCTATAGCAAACCCCCCCCCCCAAAAAAAAAAAAGAGATAGAGAAATAAATCCAGTGCATGTGTGTGCATGCCCAAAATCCCGCGAGGAGAATGGAAGAGAGTGGATTGCGGTGTGGCCATCTTCCCAAGTAAGAGATTTCTCACTTTCCCTTTCCGTTCTTCTCTGGTGAGCACATCCCTCCCCGTAGCAAAGTCTAAAAATAGTTTAAAAGATAGAATGCAAAGCCTCCTTGGCCCAGGTCCCCACCTTATGGTAGTGGAAGCAGGGCCAGACATCACATGGGGGCCGTATTCGGGTGGAGGCTGCATTCTCGACCCTTTCTCTGGTCCCTCTTGCACCCCCTGCTGAGTCCACCTTCCTCTGTGACGCTGTTCCTGACCCCGGCCACCTCTTCCAGGTTCCTCTGGTCCCTTCCCACTGACCAGCGCCGGAGACGCGATTGTCACCCTGCGGACGCTGACCTCTCTCCAGTCCCCTCTCGGGGGAGCCACTCTGCAGTCCCAGGTGAGGCTCAGGCACCGTCCTGCAGGCCCCAGGGTGGGGAGTGGCATCCTCTGAATAGGCCATCAAGTCACACACCGCTTGGCCTCTGCATGGCTCCCCCGAGCTCCCAGCAACCATGCAGCCCACCTTGTCACGACTGCAGGTTGGCGAGGCAGGGTCCACCCACAGGACTGCCCCTCTCCCTGCCTTCTGCTGCTGCAGGATGGTGACTCCTGGCAGCCATGGAAAGTGGCGCACACTCTGCCTTTGAGGGCCCGAAACAAAGGCTTTAGTTGTGGAGGGGAAGGAGCTTCCCTCCCCGGGGAGCGTGGGGAGGAGGTAGTGGGCAGTGAGCCAGAGAGGGAGGCCTGGAGGAGAGCTGGCCCCAGGGCCCCTCCTGTCGGGAACATGGAGTCCGCAGGGCTGGCCCGCTGCCAACCTGGTGCTGCAAGGCCCAGCCGGGAGGATGCAGGCAGCTCGCTCTCCCTGGCAGAAGCTCTCACTTCCAGGCTTGGCCGGTGCAGGGGGTCTTTGGTGACTGGGAAGAAATGAGCCGTCATCTCTGGCAGCCGTCATCTCTGGAACTTTCTCAAATGTGATGGGCACTATGCCATCCCCTCCCCAGGCTCTGGGGCCTCCCCAGTCTCCCCAGATGGTCTCAGGGGCCTGACCCCAACTGTGGGGGAGCCTGGAAGTAGAGCCAGCCAGACCGTGGTGTGGGGAGTGTGCTGAAGACGTTCTGTAGACCCGGATCTGACGTCCCCACCAGGCACGACATGGTGTAGCATTGCTGGCGACTTACGGAGCTCATGGGTCTCCTCAGAAGCGCGTCCTGCAGGGACCAGCAGTTACCGGAATGGCTATGTCGCTGGACTCCCATGTAGCGGACCGTGGTTCGAGTCCTGGACTCGGTGGCTTAAACTCATGCTTGCCGCATGGCCAACCCCACTGGGGGGTGATTTCTCGCTTTCTGTCTGTCTCTGTCTGGTGAGTGCATGTGTACTATAGCAAAAACCTCTCCAAAAAAAAGCATGTCCTGCAGAGCCAGGTAGCCCGGATTGATTTACCACATTTGGCCCTGGAGAACGGATGCCTCCTGGTGACATCAGCCCGGTCTGGCCTGGCTGTGGGCTGAGTACATGCCATGCCACCCCTGCAGGGGCCTCATCTTTTTTTTTTTTTGAGAGGTTTTTGTTTTTGCTATAGGGCACATATGCTCACCAGAGAGACAGACAGAAAGCGAGAAATCACCCCCCAGGGGGGATGGCCACGCCACAATCCCTTCTCCTCCATTCTCCTCTCGGGATCTTGGGCACACACGCCTGGCGTGAGTCTAAGCTACCGGGTCCAGGATTCGAACCATGGTCAACTACATGGGAGTCCAACAACACAGCCATTATGCTAACTGCTGGTCCCCAGGGCTTCACCTTGCTCTTTGCACACCCAGGGCTCAGTCCTGTGCCTGGTGCACAGTCAGTGCAAGTGTGTAAGAGAAATTAGGCTGTGGGGGTCAGGGCCCACCCTCAGCTCTAGACTAGGCCAGCCCCTACTCACCCCTCATAGTAAGCCAGGAAGATCAGGGGCCCCATGCTGGCACCACACCCCTGTTCCCACCCATGTCCCACTCGGCATGGCTGCAGGTCTTTGTCCTGGTCTCTCAGAGACACCCATCATGAGCAAGGACCTGCCCTCACTCACGGCCGTCTTCCACAGTGCCAGCCTGTCGACTCCCCTCCAACACACACACACACACGCACACACACACCACACACATGCCCACACTCACACACACACATGCACACACTCACACATACACACATGCACACACACACCACACACATGCCCACACACACCACACACATGCACACACTCACACACATTCACACACTCACACACATGTACACACACATCCATACACGCTCACACACACATGCACTCTCACACACATACCTTCCCACACACACATGCACACCCCCACACCCACACATACACACATGCATGCACACACACCACACACATGCACACACACATGCACACATTCACACACATCCACGCACACTCACACACATGTACACACATCCATACACGCTCACACACATGCACTCACACACACCACACATGCACATACTTTCACACACACATGCACACACTCACACATACACACATGCACGCACACACACTACACACATGCACACGCACACACACCACACACATGCACACACTCACACACATGCACACATTCACACACATGCACGCACACTCACACACATGCACATACACACATCCATACACACTCACACACATGCACTCACACACACCACATATGCACATACTTTCACACACACATGCACACACTCACACTGACACATACACACATGCACGCACACACACCACACACATGCACACACACACATTCACACATACACACACATGCACACATTCACACACACACACACACACTGTCCTGCTCCTCTGGAGCACGGGTCTGCTGTCTTCACACTGACTGAACGCCAGGTGATGTTTTTGTCCGAAGGCAGCGTGTCCCTGAGGTGAGGGCGTCAGTCCAGGCTGCTCTCAGACTGATGGCCACCTACCTCACGCTCGCCACCTCCATCCTAGGGCCCATGGCCGTGGGTCCTGCGGAAGAATTTCCTAGAGTTAGGCGGGCCCCCCAGTGCCCCTGTACCATAGACAGAGCTCCCCGCCCCTCGTGACGAGGAGACCTCCTTGTCATCAGCCATTCGTGCTACCCCCTGGCAACCCCGCTAGGCCAGTGTCCAGGTGGGTTGCCCCTCCCTGTCACTAAGTCTCACCATGGCGTTTCAGGGGGGACGGGCTCCATCCCCCCCCCTCAGGGTGTGGAGCCCCCAGCTGCCCCCCCGATGCCATGTGACCCCCCCCCCCCGCCAAAGCTGACGGAGGACATCTTTCTGCTGGGGAAGCTCGTCCACCCACAACCCGGGACTCACGTCTGTCCCATCTCTCCCTGGCTTTCTTCCAGGTTGTCTGAGGCATGTCCTCAGTCTGCCTCAGGATCCCCGGGGACTGGACAGCCATCGGTCTCAGCCCCCGCCTCTGACACGCAGTCTCTTGTCTTTTCAGGTCAGGGGCAGCTGGCAGGGAGTCGCCCCCCGACTGATGACCACCTCACCTGTGGGAGGCCCCGGCAGCGTCCACTCCGACACATCGAGTTAAGTTTTGGAGCCCGAGCAGAAAAGAGCCCCGTGAGAGCTGCCGGGTGACATCGGACCCGCGTCACCAAATGTGCAGTCCATTACCTCAGAACTCCGGCGACAGGGCCCCCTCAGCCTTATGACGCCCGCGCCCTCTCTGCTCATCCGCAGGGATTTGGAATGGCCTGGAACACTGTTCACGTTCCCGCCCCAGTTTGTTTTTTTAATAGTGATTTTATGGTAAGGCTATGAACTTGTCCCTTCCAGGACTTGTCACAGATTTTCCCATTAAACGTTTTGGCTTATTTTCATTTTGATTTTTTGGGTTTTTTTTTTTTACTACAAATTTGTTTCAGGTAACAGTTGACAATACAGGCGCCACACACAGGTGCGAGCCTCACGCGTGTCACAATTCTGACCCCTCCTCCGGGCCACACTCTTCCCACATCTCTTCTGTGATATCGTTTCCTTCTGGGTTTTGGGTTTTTTTTTTCTTTTTTATTGGGGGCAATGATCCAAGAGGTGGTTTTTTATTCTTTATTTTCTTTATTTTTCATTTATTTTGCTATAGGGCGTGTGCACATGCCAGAGAGATATAGAAAGAGAGAGAGGGAAGGCGAGAAATCACCCCCCAGGGGAATGGCCTCTCCAAAATCCCTTCTCCTCCCTTCTCCTCTCAGAATTTCGGGCATGCGTGCACAGGCACCCACCGTATTTTTTCCATTACGCTAACTGCTGGTTCCCAACCCACCGTATTTTTTCAAGCTGCCATTTCTGGGACTGGAATTACACACTCAGCCATATGGGATCCAACCGTCTTAACCACAGTGCCACTTTTTTTTTTTTTTTTTTTTTTAGGGATTTGCTGTACAGAATGTCCACTCATCAGAGAGAGACAGAGACAGGGAAGGCAAGTGGGAAAGGTCCCCCAGGGGATGGTCTCTCCACAGTCCCTTCTCCTCCATTCTCCTCTTTGGATTTTGGGCTCAGATGTGCATGTGCCTGGCATGTTTTTAAGCTACCAGGTCTGGGACTTGAACCGCACAGTCAGCAATGTGGGATCTAGCCGCCTTAAACACAGTGCCACCAGCTGGCGCCCATTTTTTGTATTTGTGTGTGTGTGTGTATGTGTGTGTGTTTTGTTTTGTTTGAGAGATTTTTGCTATAGGGCGTGTGTGCTAGCCAGAGAGAAGGAAAAAAAGTGAGGAATCAAGCCCTCAGGGAGGATGGCCACACAGCAATCCCTTCTCCTCGGGATTCTCAGCACACAACCACACGCTCACAGCGTGGGTTTCAAGCCTCCAGGTCCCAACTCCAACCACAGTCAGCCATGTGGGAGTCCAGTACCTTAATCACTACACCACCCTCTGGCCCCAGGTTTTTAATTTTTTTTTTTTTTTTTTAGGTTTTTGCCATAGGACGCATTCAGTCACTGGAGAGAGAGAGAGATAGAGAGAGAGAGAGAGAGAGAGAGAGAGAGAATGAAAGTGAGGAATCACCCCCCATGGGGAATGGCCATGCTGTCATCCCTTCTTCATTCTTCCCGGAATTAGGGGCATGCACACACTCCCAGTGTGATTTTCAAGCCCAGAATTAAAACTATAGTCAGATGGGGTCCAGCAGGTGGTGTGGTGGTTAAAGGCTCTGGATTTCCACATGGCTGACCACAGTTCAAGTCCCGGACCTGGCAGTTTGCTTTCTTACTTTGTCTTTTTCTCTCTCTTTTTCTCTTTCTGTCTCTGTCTGGTCAAAATTTTAAAAAAATAAATAAATAAGGGGCCAGCAGTTAGCGTAATGGCTATGTCACTGGAGTCCCTCGTAGTCAATCGCGGTTCGAGTCTTGGACCCGGTGGCTTAAACTCACACCGGGCGTGTGTGCGTGCGTGCCCAAGATCTCAAGAGGAGAATGGAGGAGAAGGGATTGTGGCGTGGCCATCCCCCCTGGGGGGTGATTTCGCGCTTTCTGTCTCTCTGTCTCTCTCTGTCTTTGACAAGCGCACGTGCCTTTTAGCAAAAACCTCTCCAGAAAGAAAAACACACTGGGCGCATGAATGTACTTGTACAAACTCCTGAGAGGAGAAAGGATTACGGTATGGCCATTTCTCTGCAAGTGCTTTCTCATTTTCTCTCTCTCTCTCTCTCTGTCTCTCTCTCTCTCTCTGTCTCTGCCAAGTACATGTGCCCTATAGCAAGTTTTTAAATTAACTGATCAATTAAATGGAAAAATGAAAATCTTGGGTCGGCCTGTGGCATGGTGGTTAAGGTGCTGGGTTCCCACATGTCCCATCACGGTTCGAGTTCTGCACCTGGCGGCTTGCTTTCTCACTTTCTCTCTCTCTCTGTGTCTCTCTCTGGTCAAATTAAAAATAATAAAATTGGGGCCAGCAGGTGGCATGGTGGTTAAGGGTGCTGGACTCCCACATGGCCGACTGCGACTGCGGACCTGGCGGCTTGCTCTCTCACTTTCTCTCTCTTTCTCTCTCTCTCTCT